ATGGCAGAAAGAGCAGCAGCCTAGTGTTCAAATCTGGTTGCTAGGATACCATGGAGACCCTCTATTGCTAGGCAGACAGGGGAAAAAAATGTGTCCATATGCCTCGTAACCTGCAAACAGCAACAACAGAAACATTCTCTGCCTTCTTCTACCCTTTCCCACTAGGAATCCAAACCCAGTTCTTCTGAAAAAAACAGTGGGTGCCTGGAAATGTAGCCCAGTAGAGCAAGGAAGCTGGTCATTTATATTCTCAAGGAGTCTCTGGAGCTCTTATATTTAAAGACTTGTCGGTATTTTCATTATTAGCGTCCTGTTGGGGGCACACAAGTTGACTGTGCTTCAAAATATCCCAATGGGATTTCAGTAACCCAGTCTCATACATTTTTATAAAGGTTTCCACGACCTCAATTTTATTGCACAGGCTACCACATCAAATTAATGATCAAATTTAAATTGGAAAGTCTATTAGAATAATGTTAACTTGGAATGTAACTCTTCCAAAAATAAAAGAAACCAAGAAAGATTAATTTCAAAAACTTCAAGTTGAATTTTCTCTATGTCCATTTGCTTGGGTATGTGAGGAATCTGAAATACTATTCTGTGGCATAAAATTAGATTATGTTTTTAATGAGAACATTTTGAAGTGGGCGGAAAAACTAACTTGGTTTCTTTAAGAGTTTTAATTATCTGCCACTTGGTTAAATATAATGCTCTGACTTAGTTAGGCTGGTCTCTGTGCTGTGTTGGATGGTGCTGGTGGAGGGCTACGGTGTAGACGGATATTCCCCCAAGACTCAGAGCTTTATTTACAGGAATCAGATAGTTGTTGGTGTAAAACACATTCTCATTTCCAGCCCAAGATTGATTTTCTTCCATTCCCATTATGGAATTCTGGTAGAACTACCAGTTCCAAGTTGCTAGATGTGCCTCTGCTTTTGTCTCATGCCTATCCTAATGGCTATCCTCATTCAGTCCTTATCCTATTACAATTACCTAAATCCCCAAATCATTGTCATCCTTCAAATACTTCACTTAAAGAACTCTGCTTCCATAAGAGTTTCTGATACCATAATACAAAACGGGCTCGAGTCTAGTTAGTTTATGTGAACTGTTTTATTTATCTGTTTGATGGCTCTCCTTAATCCATTTTCTAGAATATGTGGGCACTATTGCTCTCCCTCTTCCTCTCTGTCTCTCTCTCTCTCTCTCTCTCTCTCTCTCTCTCTCTCTCTCTCTCAACTCCTTGATTATTGAACGAGGCCTATATCACCTCTAATGCCTTGTAACAGCTTAAACATGCCATACATGCCACAGAAATATGGATCTGACCTATAGGACACATTCTGAATTTAATCACTCCCTTTGAATAAGTCTGTTTTGGTGTGATGACATCTATGATGAAAATAGATTTTTAGAATTCTCTGAACTTTCTAAAGAATGTTAGGGAGAATTTATGGTAAACAGCCTTTCTGGACTTTCTATATTTCTCAAGATGTTCTAGTGTCAAGGTTTAAAAGATCACACAGAATCTTATCTAAATAAATGCCTCCATAAGGAAGAAAATATATTTCTTTTCACCTTCAGCTCTTCCAGGGTACTTCACAAGCAAAGTGAATCTTCACGACCAAACAACTCATCATTTGCTGAAATGTTTCACCTTTGGGGTGAAAGCAACAACTTAATCCTGTAAAACACTAACAAATTTTGAGAAATTCAAGTCTATACTTCCCGACTTCAATAACAGAACTCTGTGACTGGAAAAAGTGGGAAAGGTTTGAAAATATTTACAATTTGTTAAAGGTTCGGGATCAAAATACCAGAGCAGATGCAGTAAGCCCATCATAAGGTCTATTTTCAGTCATGAAGTATCATAAAAATAATTTACTCTAAAGGTCAGACGCATAGTGGATATATGTCTCTTTCCATCCATCTTTATCCACAAAGACCCATCTTACTTGAAAAAGACTTTCACACACAACCAATGATCAACTCTCATATAATGGATAGTTTTATATTTTTAAGGGTTTAGTTGTCCAAATTTAGCAATGCAATATAGATTTCACATTGCCTGACAATCATAACAGAAAGGGGGCTTATGAACAATTCCTATACAGATTGGAAAGGGACAAATAAAATTTCTCCTATACCTCATGGTTTTCAGTGAGAGTATCCTATAGGAGTTCTAGAATCTGACAGAGCCTTCTTTCTAGATCCCAGAGAAGTGGGAAAATCTCAAGCCATGATATTTGATGATTTAAGTTAATAAGCTAATTTACATTTTATGCTATTTTTCAAGCAGTCAAAAATTCCTTTAAAAATCAAGTTTTTTTAATTATAGTCCTCACAATGCAACCTCAGTAAGCCAAACAGTAAACTAATGATTTGTTTTCTTTATAGAATTGAACAGAAGATTTGTAGGATAGTTGACTACATCTAAGAAAAGAGAAAACTACCACGAACGTGAATTTGAAATCAACGTTAGATTATTAGATAGCCTCTTTCTAATTTGAACTTAGAGCCATTCTGTAAAAGTTAAAGAAAGACAAATTTAAGTTGCACTTAAGATGAAGATAAAGACATAAACACTTGTTGCCAGTAAGTCTGCATAATCGAATCATTTATAGTGAAATAAACTGAAATTCAAATAAGTCTTCTTTGACTTGGCAAGTTTCCCTAATTCTTTGTGGCACTATCTTGCACAATTATTCAAATGGCATGTCAGCATCATCATTTTGCATCCAACATACTTCTCTCTTTCTAAAAGGTACACTCAGCTGCTTAGACCAATTTTATTCTGTTTTCTTTATGTAACTGTGAAAAAAAGAACAGATGTTTTTCCAAAATTAAGCGTGGAAGATATTCTATAGTTTTCTTCAATACAATCTTAAGGATCACCAAAACCACTATGATGACACCTTATGAGCTGACTTCTTTAAAGTACAAGTTGTTAAATAAATGATAGAACGCACAGGATTGTTCAATAGCTGAAATGTTTAGTTTAACACAATGTTGTGATTTATTGGCCAAACTATGTTCTTTTCCATCATGGACTTCAAAAACATCTAGTTATTCTACATGTCAAGGACCAAAAGATTCTTAAAACTTACCACATTCTTCACTTCATTCCTTACTGCCTAGATTCCTTTACATCTTCTTTGATAGAATGTTTAACTGGAGTTATCAGCCAGCATGATCATGCTTCATTATAAAACCTATTAAAATGGTCTTTTTATAAAAGCAGCATTTGCAGTTATGCCAAAGTCCTGCAGATACTAAAATGAGATCCTATAGAAAGCGTTTTAAGCGCAGAGAGCTGTCTTTGAGTTATTTTTTCATTATGCAAAACTTGGCCCAGGAGAGATGGCCATGTACCTCGTTAGCTAAAACAGGCAAGCATGTCAGGACTGCAAATTAATTTAGCAGAGAATGTTGAAGTGGATTCAGATCAGTCAAGTTTCCTAGGCAGATCTCAGTTTACTAAAACTATCAGGACCACTCAGTGAGTGACCTCAGAATCTCAGAAATGTTTATCCTTATTGTCTGCTTCCCAGACTCGCAAAGAAGAAAACTCCTCCTTTAGCTAAACCTGTATGAGGAAGAGCCAACGGTCTGTGGGATCAAAGAGCCTGGATACAACTTTAAGTTTCCTGAGGGGACGGTAAGTACGAACTTAGAAACTCCCCCAATTCCAAGGAAGTAGCAATGGGAACAATCAAGCACAGTCTTACTCCTTGTGCTACTAATCCCTTGTGTTTATGAAGTAAAGGGTTCCAAGGGACACACGATTTTATGTAACCTGTATCATGCAGACACCGTGATGCAGTTAGGAGAGAATTCATTTGATCTCTATGCCACCATAACACACCCCTTGCCCTTACTCTTTATGAACTTCACACTCTTGCCACTTTACTATTCGAATCAAGTGGTGTGTGATGGTTACATCACTCCAGCACTCTGAGTTGAGTGGTGCCTGTTGTCAAGCTCTGTCCAATTTTCCCACCCCAGTTATGAAGCCCACTAAGAGCAGACCTGCATGGTCTTTTAGAGGCTAGAAAAATACGAGAGTGGCTGCCTCCGGAGCCGGGAGTGCGGCAAGCAATGTGATCGCATTATCAAGAAAGGTAAGTTTACTTTTCTGTGTGCGACCATGGAACTACGCATCCTTCTTGGGATGTGGAGGCACCACGTTAGTATTAGTGACAGTACGCAGGTTCCTTTGGGAAAATAAGCGATATCCTCCTTCAGATGTGATTTTTTTTCTAAAAAAAAAAAAAATCAACAGACTACGCTCCATTTGTGGATCGTAAATGTCATCCAATTCAGGAAACCGAAAGAATATGCATTCCCTTCTCTACGCCTATTTGCTTATTCTTTGGACACTTTGCTGATGACAGAACATCAGGTTTACGGGGTGCCAGTGTGAATCATCAGCGTGTAGAGAAAACCTGGAGAGCCCCAGGAGCCAGGAAAGTAAGGATGCGATCAGCCGCATTTCATTTCGAGCCTGGCGAGCCTGCATTTCGGGGCTCCCAGCTGGACAGGTCTGCAGGGCAGCGGGGGAAACTGGGGGTCTCGCGCCTCCTCTCGCACTCACACACCCGCGGTCGAGCTGCGCACACACACACACACACACATACACACACAAACACACACACACACACACACACACACACACACACACACCCGGGGCACGTTCGAACTCCAGGGGCAGCCGCCGCCGTGGGGACCGCTGTCTCTGCACGTAGGCGCGCCTGCTTTCGGCAGGTGGCTGGGCACCGGACAAAGGCACGAGGGCAGGCACGGGGCGCGGCGGGTCTGGGTCTGGGTCCGGCTCCGCGAAGCGTGCCCAGCGCGCAGGGGGCGCGCGCCCGCCCGCCTGCCCGCCAGCCAGCCCGAGAGGCGGCATCTCCGAGGGTGCAGGCAGACCGGCGGGGGCGGCGGCGACGCGGGACCCGCTTCCCACCGACGGGGCCACCCGCGCGGCGCGCACCCCGGCTTACTGTGGGCTCTTGGGGTAGAAGGGCAGGGTCACGTGGCTGAGGTCCTGCAGGTCGAAGGCCGTGGGCTCGGCGGAGATCGCCTGCCGCTTGGTGCGCGGCTCGCCCTGCAAGGGGCCGGCGCTCTGCTTCTGCGCCTGCTGCGTGGCCGGCCGGATCACCGAGCGGTACTTGTCCAGCTCGTTCTGCAGCTTCTGGATCAGTTCGTCCTTCTGGTCCAACTCCAGCTCCAGCTCGTCGATGAGCGCGTCCCTCTGCCGCAGCTCCTCGATCTTCTCCTGGAGCGCGTACTGCAGGTCCCGCAGGGTGCCCATGCTCCCGGGGGCCGCGCGGGCTCCGTCCCGCCGCCGCCGCGCGTCGCCTCGGGGCGTCCTCGCCGCCCGCGTCAACTTTCCCCGAAGTCGCCGCCCGCGGAGTGCGCCGGCTTCCCACCCGAGCCGCGAGCCGGGCCCGGCCTCTGAGCATGCCCAGAGCGCGGCCGAGTCCCCGAGTCCCCGAGTCCCCGAGTCCCCGAGCCGGCGGCGGCGCGCGCGGCGGAGCCGGGCGGGTCCGAGCGGCTGAGCGGCCGCGCGGGGGGCGCAGCGAGCCCGGGCACTGGCTCCGCGGGGCAGCGGCGACCGCGCCTGGCCACTCGCGCGCCGGGCCGAGGAAGCCGCCGCGCGCGCGGGGCGCTGATAAGCCCTCGGGGGCGCGCCGGGGGGCGGGCGGGGCGCGGCGGGGGCGCCGCGGCGGGGGCGGGGACGGGAGGCGGCGGCGGCGGGTGGGGGGGACCCCGCGAGCCGGGAGGCGGCCCGCAGCTCGGAGCCTAGCCGTCGAGAGCCGGGCGGGCCGGGCTGGCCCGGGGGCTCGCGCCCGACGTGCCGGCCCCGCGCCCCGCCGCCCCGCCCGGGCTCCGGCAGGGGGGAACTTGCCCCTCGGAGACGGGACGTGGCCTCTGGTGCCCCCCCTTGCCCTCCCCACTCCGGGGCTCCCGCCGACGGCTCCCCTTCTGCCCACCCCGAACTCGAGTTCACGAACTGTGCCTTTACACCAGGTCCCCCTTCCCCTTCTCCGTGTCGAAGACGGCTCGGCGTCTCCACTCGCCCTCCCAACTGAGCTCGTTTTCCCAATTGGTACCCGTGGGCCCCTGGCTCTGCTGCGCTTGCTGAACTGGGGACCCGGGAGGCGGGATGAGAGGAGAGCCCGGTCCTGCTCCCAAAAGTGCACCTGTAACTGAACCCTACCTTTCAAAACCGCCACTTCCCCGAGTTCAGCGGGTAGGGCAGTTTGCCTTGCATGGAGAGAGACCTGGGTTTGTTCCCAGCACCACTTAAGGTCCACCAGCTGAGTTATCCCAAAGTGCAGCGCCAGGAGTAAGCCCCTAGCAATTGGGGGATTATTTCAAGATGTGCCCCCCCAAAAAATTTTTTAATGCACTGCTGCCCTAACAACCACAGCACTAGCATTTTATTCTGCCATTTGAGTATCAAGACACACTTCTGGCACAAATATAAGAAAATCATACAGAGGAGGAAGGGGGGGGTGCATTAAACTGGACACTACCACCTACCTCTGTCCACTCAGTATGTCCCCAAATGATGAGTTAGTCAGCAACCCATCTGTCTGAGAACATTCAATATTTGTCTAAATCTTCACTAAATCAGCTAATTTTACAGCTTTTTTATTCACTCGCTTTAATTACTAATCTTGGGAATTCGGTGTTTGAATCCCTCGGGGCTCTGTTTGCCCATTCCTTAACACTAAAACAAAGTGGACAGAAAATAATATTAAACCTGAATTGTAAATTAGAATTATTCGCTATAATCTAAACTCGGTCAAGTAAACATATCAATTTCAAAAAGATCTCACTTTTGCTTTTGGATTCACTATTTTCTGTGGGGAGAAGGGGGATTATTGAGGGGAGGAGGAGTAATCTAATGGATAGGGAACTAGCTCTTTGATTTAAAGTGCACTTCTAAAATCAAAGGTGTTAAATGACAAAGCATATACAATCCCAGAGTCTTCCACACAGATTATAATTCTTTTTGTACAAATGACATAAATCACTTCATTAATCTGCTTTCCTGAACCCCTCCAGAATGCAATATGTAAAGTGGTAATTCCTTAAACTTCTTCATTTGTAATGAACTAAATATAAATAATTTACAAATACAAGCAGCAGTAAAGAACAGTTCTGATTTGTTGTTGTTTTAATTAAAATAAGCCAAGCAGGAATACAGTGGTTTCTTATAACTAACTCTATTCTAAAAGCACTTCTGTGACATTTTCGTTTCTCCCAGGCAAAAGGCCAAATTCTTATCTTATTTAACCTAAGGGAATTCTTTAATTCCATGGGGAAATGTTTAAAACTAAATTAATTTTTCCTATAGATCTATTATAAGAATCCTGAGAAAAAGAGTTTATGTTTAAAAATTTATCAAAAACAATAAGATGTGTTATTAGGCAGCTGCTACGCAGAGAGTTATGCTTTGGAGATTTTCATGAGGCTTAAATAGGGTTATTTGGTCTTTGACGAACCAAAGAAAATTCTTCCTGATTTGTAGAAATTCTATAGGTACGAGGGAAAAATAGAAACTAAATCATGCTTTCTTTTAATTAAAAAAATGTTTATTTATCTACAATGTTAAACAGTTTAACAATAGCTCACATCCTTCGGACCAACTGGAGCGATAGCACAGCGGTAGGGCGTTCGCCTTACAAGCGGCCAACATGGCTGCCCCGAGTTCAATTCCTCCGCCCCTCTCGGAGAGCCTGGCAAGCTACGGAGAGTATTCGATATGCCAGACACAGTAACAACAAAGTCTCCAATGGAGATGTTACTGGACCCGCTTGAGCAAATCGACGATCAATGGGAGGGCCTTTACCTTTTTTTTTACCTTTATTTATCTACACACTTCAAGGGCCAGAGAGAAAGTACAGCAAGAAGGGTGCTTGCATCAGATAACCCAGGTGCAATCCCTAGCATCACATAAAGTTCTGCAAAGTCCTGCCAGGAGTTATTTCTGAGCAAGGAGCCAGGAGTAAGCCCTGAGCGCTGCTGAGTGTAACCCAAATCCAAAAATAAATAAAATACTTCAAAAATACTAATATTAGGGGCTGGAGAGATAGCACAGCAGGTAGGGCGTTTGCCTTGCACATGGCCGACCCGGGTTCGATTCCCAGCATCCCATATGGTCCCCTGAGCACCACCAGGAGTAACTCCTGAGTGCAGAGCCAGGAGTAACCCCTGTGCATCGCCAGGTGTGACCCAAAAAGCAAATCAATTAATCAATAAAAAAATTTTAAAAATAAATACTAATATTAAACTCATTTTAAACAAAAATGCTATTTTACATTGAATGTGTAAAGAGTTTCACTATTCATGCTATATCTATATACATTCATGCTATATCTGTAGACTAAAATGGTTTAGCTACATTTTCATTTTCCATGGAACTCCTATGATACAAATTATATTCCATTATGAATTTTCTTTAACACTTTTACATTACACTTGGTGACAATTGACAATTTTATATAGAAGGCAATCAAGATTCTACAACAATATTTTCTGTCACTGTCACTGTCCTCCCCTTGTTCATCAATTCGCTCCAGCGGGCCCAGTAACGTCTCTATTGTGACACTTGTTACTGTGTTTGGCATATCGAACACATAGCTTGCCAGGCTTTGCCGTGCGGGCGAGATACTCTCGGTAACTTGCCGGGCTCTCTGAGAGGGGTGGAGGAATCGAACTCGGGTCGGGCCATGTTGGCTGCGTGCAAGGCAAACGCCCTACCCACTGTGCTATTGCTCCAGCCCAACAATATTTTAATAGACAAATTTTGCCAACTGAGCATTCCTATATGTTACATAGCAAACTTCAGTAACCAAATTATAAGATCGAAGATCAGCTACAAGTCTACTTTCTGCTCAATAGAAAGTGGCCACTGCAATCCAAAATAGAGTGAAACAAAATGACAAACACCAACTTTCCACCATTGCCTGCACTGGGATTAGGTCTTAATGCTATATGCTCTTGTTATAAATTTAAATGAACCGAATAGTATAAGCTTATTGTTATATATTTATTGTTGTATATATTTAAATGAACCTAATTTAGGACAGTGTTTCTCAAGTAGGGGCCAAATGGACACTAAGGGCCAGGATATTCCAAGAAAGCCAAGACAGCCACTAAATGAAAAATCATGTAAGTGGGAGGCCATGACAATTAGACTAGAGAGTCAAAAGATAAAGCAGGTAGGCCCCCACAGGGAAGAAGGTCAAAAGGTGGCCAAACTCCACAAAACACTGAGGAAAAACACTCTAGAATTCCACAGTCAATTAACAACCAGCTTTTCCATTTGTCATCACTTTAGTAAAAGCAAAATGACGGGAACAAACTATGGTATTCTGATGCCTTCATATTTGCATTTAATACTCAGGGTTGAGGGTAAATATTATCATGCCTTCCTTAATGGAATTCCAGAATCACTTGATGAGGTGTTCAATAATGCATCTTTATGATAATGATTATGTTAAAAAAAGTCAGAAGAATTTATCATCCTTTAGCAAAAATCTAATTAGTCTTCAATAAACTGTAATGATTTTGTCATCCAATTGTCCATTTTAGTGATACTACATTCTTTTTTGAAGAATCCTGAACTTGAGATTTCTATGGCCATTGGCATATATGTATATGTATCCTAAGTTAAAAACAAAGCCAAAAATTCTTAAGCATTTTATATATATGTGTGTGTGTGTGTGTGTGTGTGTGTGTGTGTGTGTGTGTATAAAGACTTTTAGGTTATAAAAACCACCTAAAAGTAACATTTAACAATCTGGCTTGTTGTAATCAAGATAACAATAAGGATAAGGTCATTGAACTATTAATGTTTAATAGGCAGTATTTATATAATTCTAAAAATTTAACGTTTGCGTTCATTTAGATTTAAAAAAAATGCAGATACAGAGTCACCCACCTAATGAATGACAAAGCTTGGGTTCAAATCCAGACTTTGTACATTTCAATACTTTCACTCTGGTTTAGAGAATTGACCCTGTTTTAGTACTTCAGTGAATGGGACATCCTCATTTTAAAACTAAAGTTCTTGATACCCCTTTGTCCTGGGCAAACTGAGTTGGTTAGTCACTCTCTTAAAGTTAGAGATACTAAGCTTCTTTCTAATAAATGTTTTCACATTTTGTTTTCAAAGTTATTGACACTTCGGATGGGGGGATGGGGGGTGGGAGGGATACTGGGATCCGTGGTACTGGGAAATGATCACTGGTGGAGGGATGGGTATTTGATCAATGTATAATTGAAAGCCAAGCACAA